TGTGAATTTTTTCATTTTTACTTTGAATGCATAAAGAAAATCTGACATCCATGCTTATCAAACATAAACGCTCTTCCTYTTTTTATGTCCAACTAGGTTAGTGTTAATTAATCTGAGCAATCATCAATATTTATTTTATATTCTGAAGTTTGCATCTGAGCTCCTCAGATACTTCTGGGAGTATCTAACAATCCTTCCCCCTTGACATTTCCCACAGCACTCATGGAATCCAGAACATTCATCCTTTCTGTCAGTTGTGTCCTCAACAAGCTGGAGAATCCCACTCTATTTCATCTGCCTTACCAATCACTACTGTTACAATAGAAAATAGGCATTTTATTTTGGTTTTATTCACCAACAATAAATTCAAACTTTGTCTCTTCTCCACTCTAAATTTTCCACCTTTTCCACTGACTCTTTCTTGACTTCATCTTCCCACAATTCTCATTTCAACACTCCATCCAAATCAACTTTTTATGATCTCACCTCTTTCTCCAGCTGACATAAGCATATTCTGACCTCTTCTGTCTACATTTTTTTAATCTATTCTTGCTCTTTTAAAAACAAAACCAGTGATAATCGAGACAATGGCTTTATTTCTTTTACCTTCACAGGTGATCCCATCTGGTTGAAGCTGATAGCCAACAAAGCAGGAGCAGACGTAACTGGATCCTGTGTCTCTGCACTGCTGAGAGCAGGGACCACCACCTAAGGAATATGTTAAAAAGTCTCATRTAATTAAGAGGCTCTTCATAGGGAYTGAAACAAACCATTAATTTAAAGGATACTTGATTTATTTAGAGAAGCAGTTAACATACATACACAAAAGAAAGGAAAGGCTAAGCACTGAAAGCCCTAAAAATTAATACAAGAAGGGTTATTCTGATTGAAAATACTACAGAAAATTTATGGCTCATCATTAAAAAAAAAAACCTTTTCTGATCTTGTTAAAATAGAAATTAATTTTAAAATGCTTCATATTCTYAAAATAGAGAAAAGATTATATGTTTCCAACAACAAATATTGTAAGAGTGCAGATGTTCTTAAAACAAATCCATCCCCTGTTTTTCAGAWTGGGCATTTAAACAAAAGGTGTGAGATAGGCACAATCCATGAGAGCAATCTCAGCTATAATGCTTTATAAATACCTTATAATTTAAGTACAACAATTTCTAATGAGGACATGGCCATTAATGCACCACTAAATGAAATTTAGGTGAAACCATAGTTTTATGGTTGAGATGAACAACCTCTGCCCTCTGAACCTCTGCTAATAAAAATTGCTCTAAATTCCACYGCCTAGGAAATTTAAGTTTCCCCTGGTGAAGTTCAGAAAATCACAAGTACTTTTGGCATGCCAAGTTTATCAGAAAATATACTGTAGACAGAATATTTTAATTATTAACCCTAATTKAACCCTAATTTGCAATTAGTAATACCAATCCATCTTCTGCAGGCAGCTGATTAACTGAGAAATACAACAACTGATTACATGAAGAAATAATGCTAGGAAAATATGTAACACATATTTCTATGTCATCTTGTAATTAGCAGCAGGAGACAAGGAAGAGAGGCACTGTGGACTCTGGTTCACTAATGAGCTGGGAGAKATTCACATTCTCTCCAGAGTGTAGAACACAGCACAGGAAATCATCTTTCAACTGGAATATGAGCCTATCAAATTGATTTTATCCTAAATACATTACTGAGTTCTGAAATGCTAGCAGAAAAAAGCAAATCACTGCAGGTTCAGGTGTAGAGATGTGCAAATCACATGTGACAAGCACTAAATCAGAACACCTAGCAGAGCAATTTTCCAAATATTATGTTTTCCCAAAGAGGCAGGGCAGCATGACTAATCAGGACAATAGCCACTTCTGTCTTCCTTTGTTTAAGGTTATGCATCTCAAACAGAAACAAGTTTAATTTCATATTCAAATTTCATTTCATATTCACATTCACCCTGATTACCCTAAGAGAAGAATAAGAGATGTGCATATTTAATGCAGGATCACCACATTTTGAGCAATCCACRGGTTCAAGGGTGACACTTCTGAGGTATGATTCACTGAAAGTTAAATAATATTTAAATGTATTGTCTCAGCTTTAGTTGGATAAGATGAACTCCACTGAGGGAGACAAAGCCTCCCTTGTATTTAAGAACTATTTAGGCATCACATAATAACCCACAACTCCTTGGAAAGGCTCTTCCTCATGTTTTTTTAACCCATTTGGGTTTTTTTTTGGCTAATTCTAGATTTAATTTGGCTTCACTTCTCTGGAAAGCAATCACAGTCACCTGACTTACCTCTGCAGCCATCATGCAGATAAGGATCTTCTTGGTCTAGTTCCTCCTTGGAAATTTCTACTAAAAAGAGGAGAGACCAGCATTAGAGGAGAAAGCACTTTTCTTCTCAAGGTGGAACAYTGTGTGCTTGGGATGGAACTCACACCAGAGTTTTGGACAAATCAGGACAAAAATAAAAACGGTTATTTACATATTTCACAGCTATTTCCTTCTTAAATTTGACATTCAAATGCACATGGCCACGGGGCATTTTCCATTTGATGGATTCAATATGAAAGTCACATTGTGGTCATAAATTACATATGGACTAAGATTTTCAAATGCAGGTTCTAAATGTCAGGCTTTTAGCCAGAGCTTAACCTCATTTTCATAAGACATGTTGTTGAGGCATGCTTGGCTTCCACTGACCTTCCAGTAGCTTGGGGGACTCAGAKATTTAATGAAAATCAGATTAACCCCAGTTATTTATTTAAACTTCACTTCAAAAAGAACTCCACACCCAATTTTTTGGGCASCTACTTATGCCATTCTTTCAAATATACTCATTATATACCTTGGGGAGCTTGGATTTGTAATAATCCTGCCACATGTGATCATTAGGATTTCATTTTCTCTATTTCCATGCCTCTGTAACCCTGTGATTCTTTAGTGGATAAGACTAAACAGACAGTGCTGAGCTCCTGCTCTCCCATTTTTCCCTTTTCCAGGCTGGAAAGAGCTGGAACAAGGCTGAAAAYATGCTGGCTCAAGCAGGCTGGTGCAAGATTTAGGGTTTGGGCTTGAGTGACTGATCAGGATGAYGTCTCCCAAAATGTCCCAAAAACTCCCATCTCTGTGGACTAGGGATGGAGAAGGTGTATAATGCTGCCCCTCTTTTTTGGTAATATCAAAAGAAACAGGTTCCACACATCCTGGAGATCTTCAGCTGTCCCACACATCCAGGCATTTCCAACACCCCTGGTTTGTGGGCATTTGCCTCTCACACAACAGCAACGTTTGAATTCTGCTGAGCTGGCAAAGGCCCTCTGGCTTTTCAACACAATTAAAATAATTGGCGGTTGATTTTAATTTTAATTAAGCATTTATCAGTGGGAAAAATGCCATTAAAATGAATAGCTTATATTCAGCTTCCAAGATAAGATCATTAGTTGCCAAAATGAGCTCTCTCACATTTAACTTCTGACACCAGGAACTAAGTGACCCCTTTCCAGCTCTTTGAGCCTCTTGAGCTCCAAAACATGCATCATTAAATTACTCAGATGAGACATCAAGTTAGAGGAATCCCAACAGAAAAAATTTAAAGTGCAAACACTCCTTGTGCTGTGTGTCATTTCATGCCTCACTCTTTTCAAGCCTGCAATAAAATACCTGGCTCTTTCTTAGGAGCRTAATCACTGATGGACAGATCAATGCCTTCTTGGCCTTTCCCACAGCAGGTTCTGAAGACAATTCCACACTGATATCCCAGCTTGGGGTTGGGTTCACAGCTCTGTCCTTGAACTTGGGCAGCTTTGCCCAGCAAACAGCAGGAGCAACACGTCTGTTRAAAAGAAAATGAAAATAAAACATAGTGAAAGCAGTGTGGGCTTTGTCAGTGGAWTCAACAGTTCTCTCACCTTGGCACTGATGGAGAATTTTCTGTGAACTCTTTCAGAACTCTTTAAGAACTTGGGCTCAACTTTCTTCCCTGCTRTGGAGCTCAGTGAGCTCTGCATCTGCCAAGCACAGAGCTGGTCCAGCTCTCACAAAATGCTSTGTGTGTGCAGGGATGTGCAAGGTGACCTGGAGCACCACAACAGCCCCGACACGTGCATGGGATTGCACTGCTCCCTGCCTGCACAGCCTGGACCCCAGCACCACTTCTTCACACTGCTGCATCCCATTTGTGTCCAGTTTAATTAAAACAGGGCACAATCAATGAAATGCACGGCTCACTTTGATTGGAGCTGCTCACTCAAGTTTTTCCTCAAACAAACAAGCACCACTAGCCCAAGGTTAGTGTTAACAGGTAATAAAGAGGAGCTGTTTTGCTCTGGAAAGCACAATCAAACATCATTTAAAAGTATCCCTGTCCTGACATGGCCCAGCAGTAAAATAATCTGCTTCTTGCAGACCTAAAATACACCARGGAAACAAGCATGGGACAAATTAATCCCATGGAGGCTTCCTTTATTTCAAATTGAGAAGATGCTGCTGATTTATTCCGTTTTCTTCCTTGCTGGCAAAAAGCAGCAAAAGTGTTTGGTTCTCTGAACYGGTGTCTGTCAATTGCTACTGTCATGTGAAAGCAGATTTAAGGTTTTTTTATTAATTTTGTTAGTCTTCCAGACTCTGTTTTGCCTGAAGAAAACAGCCTGCACCATTAAACAGAACAGATGGAATATGAAATAACCAAACATTCAACTGAATTTCTACATATCGGTCCTTTAGCACCACACCTGATGAAAAAAAAGGCAACTATGAAAMGCTTTTCATTACTTTGAGATGCTCTGAGTTTTCCCTTGTAAGGAATTACATATTTTTCTCCCCGTACTGAACTGAAAGGCACTTTTAAAACTTAAAGCAGCATGAAGATGAAACCAGCATCCTGAAATATGTGGGCATCAAATCCACAACTGAAACTTTACTGTGCTGCAGGGCTGGAACTCCTCTCTCCTGGGATGCTGCTTTCATGCTCTCCCCATCTCCAGGACACACATTTTCCCTTATTTACTCTTGTTTGCTGAGATGGTTCCTCACTACCCACTTTTTTTACCACTTTCTCCAGCTACTTCCATCCAGTCGCAGATGCTCCAATTTCATCACTATTATGTCTGGGATAATTCCATGTTTTCTGGCTTTTCTGAAYGACTTTAGAAATAAACACTTGATGCTTGCAACATTTCTCAGTGTTTGTTCTGACATATCAAGCAATTCCCCGAGGCATCCTTCTCCAAGTTCTTAACATCTGACAAAAATTTTGTTAGATTTTCAATTTTCACAACCATAAATTAGATGACAAAAACRGAAAGTGAGCCAAAGATTCATTGCTTGATTTAAGCCTGCATGTTTTTGACAACCAAATCTTATTTAATTTACTGAATAAGCTGATGCCTTGAAATATTTTGACGTTATACAATTCTGGTTATCCTCACTGGCTTCTGCTGTAAGACTCAGTCTACTTCTTTATCTTATCACATGATGTACAAATTGGGAGTTACAGAGTTGTTCGATTTTTTTTTTTTTTTTTTGAAAAAGAATGATCATTAATCTTGCTCTTTTTGGAAGTTGAATAGCCTTATGTTCCTTATTTCTTTCAGGTTGAGCCACCACTTGAAAAATCTCTTTTTTGAGCTGATCTGAAACTTCAAGTGCAGAGTTTGCTAAGCCTTGCAAGCCTGTAAGACACTGAATCTTCAATTAACATAACTGTGTGCCCTGAACCATTTGTTCCAACCTGCATTTATTCAAACCTGGATGCACAATGCATCTTGATTTTTCTTAAGTCATAATAATAATAATAATAATAATAATAATAATAATAATAGTACCAAGCTTTTTTCCCCCTGCTTTTAGCAAAACCCCCATGCAGCTCCAAAGCCATGCCTTGCTTCACGATCCCTTGTCTGCCTTCTGACAGAAAGGAATAAAGGAATAAAGTTACAGGTGAAAAATCTGAATATTTATTTTTTATGTGATTGGGAAGCCCTTGAAATTCCTTAGATCAATAAGGTCTCTCTATTATGTAAAGTTTACAGTAATTTTACATCAATTCTTATTATTTACGTTCAGATTTCAGTCACCAGTTTTGGTGTGAATCCTGCACTAACACTGGTTTTGGTATTTGTCCACAAGAGGTCTCTCCCTTGCTGAAATCCATTAGATACTAACCAAAAACCCACTAATAATTCAGCAGAATTTTCCGGAACTGAACAAAAGTTAAAAATACTTTCAGCAGTCCAAAGCAATAAAACATTTGTACTCACCTATTACACACAACCAAAGTATTCATGACAAAATTTGTGAGATAAGGACATATCTCAATCTTTGAAAAGTACCCATGACAAATTTKGGGGAAAATGTCCCAGCACCTTAAAGATGTTCAAATTTCTAGAAGCTGCTCTCCTTTCTGCAGGGCTGTTGTGGTATAAACTTGCAGAAAATAACTTCTACAATTATGTTCTCCTGTACCAGCATCACATCTGGAAATTGATTGCTTTCCTTTGATGAAGATTTTAAAGATTAATGATTCATTTTGCATTGTTTTCTTTCCAAGCTGGAAGGACTATGCCTCCTAACAAGCAGAGGAGAAAATTCTGCCCATCACTTACTATGCCATTGCCTTTATGTGTAAAAGCTGAGGCAAATGTTTTCAAAACACATTCTCTTCATCTTCTTTCCATCCCAAGTTTTGGGTTCAAAGGGATGATTAGCTGCCTCATTTGCTGCAAAGGGCTGCAATTAATCCTACTAACTGAATTACTAAATCCTTCTTCCTGCTTCCTTGAAGGAGACAAAGAAGATACAAAAGATTTTCTAAACTAAACAAAAGTGGACCAACTCAGGCAAAACTAAATTCAAGTTTGTTTATCACAGTAAGGCACAACTTCCAGACATTCTATGTCTCAAGGTCATCAGATTCAAAATGCAGTCAGCAGAAGAAATGGTGAATTGCTCACTGATATTAGATCATAAATCTCCTGTGTCCATCATGGATGAGAGTTTACCTTCAAAGATCACTCCTACCTCAGTGAAGCTGTTCAGTGAGGATGTTCTCACCAGGGAGTGGAAGGGCAGAATGTGACTCACAAAGATTAATGAACTCTGTGTTTACATAAGCAAATTAAACAGGGACAGAATGTGGGCTCAGGGCATTACTCCACAACCATCTGTAATGTTTAAATATCAGCAAGCCATAATGGCAACTAAAACCCCATCAAACAAGGCTGAAGCACATCCTGAGGCCAACACAGCCCTCCTGCACCGTGTCCAGGGCAAGGACAGCAGCTAATGAYAACTGCACTTAGACATTTCTTCTCAGGGCCAGAGATCAAGGCCCAGCACACTTTGTTTAATAGTAAAGCTGTCACCATGAACATTTGCCATCTTTAAAGAAGTCTGGCCATTCACAAAAACATCATTAAGTCTTCCTCCTCATGCTGAGAATATGGAACCTGTCAGTCAGATATCATCTCACCTCTCCTACACAGTCCATGTTTYATTGTAGCTGAATGAACAGTTCAGCATCTTGGGGCAGTGGGGAGAACTAAGATCACTTTCATCTGTTCTCATCACCACAGAGAGAAATCCACACCACGACCAGAGCTGTTCATGACTGGGTTATGGTCAAGGTCATGATCTTACTGGTGGAACTTCCTTCCAAAATACTCTGAATGAAGGTGCAACTGTGCTCCCTTCTCAGGCAATGAGAGACAAAGGCAATGACAAAGGTGGAGAGCAGGGCACACATGAAGTGCAGATGCCAACAACATTTTCATTCAGAYATTTTCATTCTGATAACAAATGCTGGTATCACACGCTTACAGATRTCTCTATCCTGTTGGAAATCAAAGTCATGTTAACTCAGCACACTTACACAAGCTGGAGCATAATCCTGAGAGGATTAACTCCAATCCCACCCCTTTGGGCCACCAATATTGTAAACCCTTGAGCCTGACCTTAGGCCATGAAGCTTTAATGAAAGCTCAAGTGTGAAATGTGTCTGAGTTTCTCACCCGTCCCTCACTACAGCATTGCTGTCTTCTTTTCATATAAGAGTCATTTCCTGACCAATTACCCATTCAAGATTTTCCACCCTTTTTCATTGTCTTCTCTGCCTCTGTTAAAATGCAAAGTGACAATCTGCTTTTCTGAGAAGGACTCCACTTCTCAAAGAGAAGGACAAAGCGAACAGCCTTAACACACAGGAGAAAAAGCTGCTCATCTGCAGCAAACCAAGCCTAAATAAAGTCAATAAATAAATAAATGAAGTCACCTCCACTTCTCAGAGRCAAACAGGAGCAGCTCTGGTGTCTCACCTTGAAGTGTTCGGCCTCGCAGGTGGAATTTTTGGTGATGTGTGAGTCACACTCCTCACGCACGCTGGCGAACTCCACACCGTCGGAGCAGGACTGTTTCTGCAGCTCACTGAGGCAGCACTGCACCTGGGTCATGCTGCCAGCACACRGGAGAGAGGGGACAGAAATGTCACACATGGCTCAGGGACAGACAGTGCATGGTTTAACAATTAGTACTTGTACCAGTTTTATGGAAAGGGGGGTCTGTGGGAACCCTGTTACAGCATAAAAACATTTCCGGGAGCAGGCAGGATGTCTGGGTGACATGTTTAACACAGGTGACATGTTTAACACAGGTGACATGTTTGATACCAGTGACATGTTTAACACAATTTTATTGCTGACCTGCCTTGCAGTCTGTCCTAATACCCATTTGCTTAAAAAAAAGTTAACTTCAGCCACCCCTGAATGCAACTCCCAGCAAGGATCTCCCTCACTCTGCTTTTATGGGCAATTCTGCTGGGTAGCTTTGTGGGTAAAGCTCTCCCACCACTGTTATGGACACTGGGAAACACAGCAAAAATACTCTTTACTCCTAAAAACCCTCTATTCCACTGCTGGRAATGTTGGTAATATCAGGAAGTGGGGTAGTTTAGTGGAACAGCTGAACCACAGATTTCTCCTACATAACCTGAGAAAAGCAGCTCACCCTGCAGCCCCTCTGGAGGAGCTTCCCTGCTCTCCATGAGCTTTCAGCTCCCAGGACAAGGGACCCTTTCAGCTCTAAGGCCAGGCCACTAAAGCAGGGGACATTTGGCTACTCAGATTATGCATCTCTGTGCACATGGGTGAGGCCAGGCTGTCAAGCTGCATTCCTGAAGACTCAAATTACTATTTATTAGATTGTACGTGGGTCACTTGCAACCCAAACCACTCCAGAATTCTACAATTCTGTGATTAGTAATGATCTGACTGTGCAGCTCTCACTTGCACAGAAACAGCTACGAGATTTCAATGCATAGGAACAAAACCCAGGATAAATTCATGAACAAATTATTCAAAAATAGACTCTAAAGTCATAGCAAGAAGTAAAGCCCAGGACAGTAACTTTATTTGGCAGGATATTTGAAGTTTTTGATATTTGATTTAGTTCCAGTTTGGAAGAATATGTAGGGTTTTTTTCTTGCTGAAATTCCCTCTGAAGAAGAATTTCCATTCCCTGCCCAGCTCTGGGGTGGTCTGACTTTCAGGGCTTTGGAAGCCTCTAAAACCTGAACTCCAAGCCCACAAATGTGGGAGTAGAGACTCTGCAGCCTCTTGAGCCCTCCAGGTTCTCTTGAGGAGCTGGATATGTCAGCCACAGACAAGCAAACAAATAAACAAACAGCAGCAGTCTTTCAGTAGGTCTGTTTGGTTCCTGGTGGGGCTTTCTTTTCTCAAGCACAAGTCAACTCTTTGAAATCTCTGACAAATTGGCAATTTTAACCAAAACAAGGAAGTTTTTTAAAATGTTTCCCACAGCTGTGCTCACAAGTCATGTGGTCCACCCCAACTGTAATAAGGAATTAAACATCAATTGAATGCTAGTGAACAGAAATCACCAAGACATTTTAAAATAAGCCTTATTCGTTGCTTCATGTGTTGATCTAAAACTTATTTCACAACTAGATAATTTGATTATAAATCAAGTTAAGAAATCATGTTTTATACTCTCACTTTTGTTTTCTGTTAAAATTTAACCAATGTGTGTGATTTTCATGGAGTTAATTCCCAAATGACAATCTACACACCCACCTATGTCCACAATCTTTTCRCATCTATTTTTCTCCTGGCTGGAGGATGCACTCCTAGACCAGCACAAATTTCATAACCACCTGTTTTTTATTTCAYTTCTTTTCATAAAAGCATTAAAATTTCACTTTGTTCTGAAAACAATGTCTGTCTTTCTCTCAATCTACTTTCATCACCCCCTGTCTCTCTCGTTCTACTTCCTTCAAGCTATGCCAATGCTATTCATGCGTACAGTGGAAGGTCTTGGACAAAACACCAAAATTAAAAAGAATGATATTGCAAAAACAAGCTGGGTCTTCCAGCCTTGGATTCCTCAGTCTGCATTCTTGCAACACTAATAAACAATGTTATTCCTGATGTAATTCCAGAAAGGCTACACACTGTTGAAGGCATGCRAATCCCATATGGAGATGGACTGTATCTGGCATGGGAATTGAGTTCACTTGCTCAGAGCTCTGTGCAGGGGAAACTCTTCACTTTKAAAGGAAGAAGGATTATTGGGCAGGTTGGGTTCCAAAATTCAATGGCAGCTCTTTGCAGCTGCCCTGAGTTTAACCACACTGCAAGGAAATGAATGAGTGGGAACAGACCCGCTGTGATGACAGCCAGAGAAATTACTCATTAAAACTCTGCTGGTATTTATTGAGTCACAAAGACAYGGAGATAAACACTGACATTGTCCAGAGAGATAACACAATGAGATAAAGTCGTGTGGGGCAAGAAACTGCRGCAAGAGATTGCAGATGTTGAGCCCAGAGCCTTGTTCCAGCTCAAACACAACWGAGTAAGAGCTACCAGATGGATCTTAGAGCTTGTGAACTTCACAAAGGGCTGGCTCACCTCAGGTAGGACAAAAAAGAGAGCGTGGCTGTTGTTGGAACTGCACCACACTCAGCATGTGGCACTCACAGCACTGGCAAAGCCCTCAGGAACCACAGGAGAACTTGGGAGAAGAACACTACAAATATGCTGGAACCCAGAACTCTTACCTGGCTTCTGGGATGCACAGCAGGTACAAAAATGACAGGATGGTGAGAGCTGCAAACCATTTCTTTCTTTACTRTGGAAGAAATYCTTCCCTGTGAGGGTGGGGAGATCCTGGCACAGGGTGCCCAGAGAGGCTGTGGCTGCCCCTGGATCCCTGRRAKTGCCCAAKGCCAGGTTGGACAATGGGGCTGGGAGCACCCTGGGACAGTGGAAGCTGTCCCTGCCCATGGAAGGRTTTGGAGCTGGATGATCTCTAAGGTCCTTTCCMACCCAAACCTTTCCATCATTCTCTGATTGCTATGGATGCATTTTAAATGGTTTGGGAACAGCCACAGGGTGCAGCTCTAACTCAGTGAGGCAGCTGGTTCCTCCACAAACAAGAGAATCCAGCAGTGGGTTTGCTTTGAGGTGATGTCAAGGTGATTTTTGCCTCTTTTCTTTTATATATTTATACCCTTTTCWGCACTTTTTCCAAGCCTTTTCCCCAGCTGGAAGACCAAACACATTCCAAAACTGCACAGTCACAAGGGGCACAGGGGCCCATCCTATCTTGGCTTTTCCTGGGAGCCAAGGCTAAGGGAAGCCAAGCCAAGGGAACAAGGTCTGTGAGCCATTTCCATAACCAAGGACAGCTGGGACTGAGGCTGGGGGCTCCAGGGAAGGGGCTTGAGCTGGSGGGAATTGAATCACCACTTGTCCTCCTAATTGGGGCTTAATATCAATTATGCTAATTTCATAAACCAATCAAACTCTACTCACCCCTGGGGGATGGGCTTTTGTGGAAATTCTTCCATGACTGCCCCTGAAACTCCAAAAAAGGCCAACTTTCATATCACCTCCTGTACTAAAATCATCTTGAGTTTCATTCATAGGTTGAAAAAGGCAACAGAGGGCAGGCCTGAACCTGAGGTACTGCCAAGTTATCACTACTCTAAACAGATGATTCAAAACCAGYGTGTAAATTCTTATTCTTATATATTGGGGAAAGTACTCGCATCCAGTCTGCTCTGWTTTTGCACAGTAACTGCAAAAAATCCCTTTTATTTCAGGAACTTTATCAAACCTGCTCACTTCAGAGTACGTTTTTCCCTTGTATTCACGTGCTAACCTCACAAACTGAAGCTGAAACACTCCAGGGAAAAGAAAATGTGTATTGTGTATTGTGCAGTCATGAATAAATGCGACTGAACTGACTTTATYAGCTTAAGGTTTTGTCAAGAAGTGCCCATACCTCTCACAGCCTTTTAATTTACAGTTTTAATTTTCTTAACTACACCTCAGTTATGCACAAAAGCTAGATGAATCTTTAGGGAGCCTTTTTTCCAGTTCCTGTGAAGTCCTAGTGAGTCTCCAAAATTAAAATCTTTGGAAGAATAAATTATTTTCAGCAGAATCACAACTCGCATTAATCAAATTATGATTAAATCATCAGGATACTTGCTCCCAGATTGTTMAATAAACTTGGTTTCCTGTTTTTCCTGCCTCTGTTTTGTTTGCAATTCGCATGATTTTTCAAGTATTTCCTAAATTGGCATTTATTTCCTATCTGTCAATTCTTCTGCGTAGGAGACTGCTTTTGATGCCAGTATAAATGCAAAAGTCAGAAAACACGGACAGACTTCCCTGGGAGACACATTCTTTCTGCAATAAAGATCAACCCAACACTCCTACAATTACCAATTAAATCACTTTGCAATCCTTTTGAGTACAGGGGAGCAAAAGCAAAGTGTTTTAAATACAAATTTCTCTGTGAAGCTGCCTCTCAAAACACCAATCCCAAATTGTTTGTTCCACTAATTAAATGCAACAAGTGAATATAAGAGCAAAAATAACACTGGCTATCATTGATGTAAAAAACACAAATGCCACAATCACGTAAGAGATGCAGCAGAATCAAAATCTTAATCAACATTTACCTTCATTATTTCATTTGGTAGATTACCAAACAGAAATATCTCATCAATTATAATTAAGTGGAATTAAGAAATCTGTTCATTAACTAAATGGTGCTATTTTCTGCAGTCAATCCCATTTCACAGAATCTCAGAAACACAGAATGGTTTGTGTTGGAAGGGACCTCAAAGCCCATCTTGCTCCACTCCACATGGATTAGARCTGGGTGAATCTACACCAGACTGAYAGAAAAATTTAAAAGGACTGGATGGACAGAAGCTCAGGAGGCTCCCCAAGGCTACACATGAGTGGAAAAGCTGGGATATAAGAATTGGGTGCTCCATCTTGTAAATTAGCTTCAGCACCTACATTTYCAGTGGTTTCACACTAAAATAGAAACTGTGTTTTAATATAGAATATGTAACGATGTACCTGCATTCTCTAGACTCGGATATCAACGGCAGAGAAGCACATATTCTGTTTTTATTTGCCCATTCCACACCCTTGTCACAGCATTCTTCCACTGACACATCTGCAGAAATGAGGAAAGAAAGAAAAACACAATATATTTAATACAACCTTAATAAACAGTATTAAAAAARTTAAAAAACCCCAACCAAACAYGAGCCAGTGAGTTTATTTTCCCCTCCCTGACCAACACACAGAACAGAGCACCCATGGCCAAACAGAGCACTTGTCAGCACCCTGCAATAAAGCCCAGTGCTGGAGATTTTCCTTCCTTGGTGGAGCAAACTGCATTTTCCCCTGACCTCCCATACCAAGACACAGCCCAGGGACTGATACTTTGGCAGAAAACAGTTCCAAAAGGATCTTTGGGATTGCACTCCTTCATTATCAAAAGCAGCAGKAGCAATAAGGAACCTTTTAAATTCCTGAAGGATACAGGATAAATCAAATGTCTGATACAAAAGACAGATGAATCTCATTACAAGTAAATTTGCAGAACTGCTTTTTTCCTGAGGTTATTATTCAGTTAATCTGTTTTCAATATTTCACTCTGAAGTACGTCTGTAAATGCTAAAGTACTGTAGAGACAAACAAAAAGGTGCATGGTATTTTGATCACTTAACATACGAAAGAAAAATTAATCCTATTACCAACTAATACCAACTCTGAAACTAAGGGGCAAACCACACTGAAGACAATTATTTGTGTAGAGTATATTTTTGCAAGCTTCTAATTTAATAAAACCGAACACTGCTAACGAACTGACAAGCACTCCAGGTTYGCTTCTCATTCCAAGTGCAAAAGTTCACCACACAGCAGGTGAATCAGAACTTGGAATAAAGCATGGGTCACACTTTTCCATTAATTATTTTGTAGTCTGAACACAGAACAGCYCCTTGTGCAACAAATACGTGAACCCCTATCTGGTTATCCAGAGGGACAGCTCTGCAGTGCTTGCTCTGAGTTTTCTGAATTTTCTGACTGATGGCCCTGAAAGCTTTCACCCACAAGTGCTGAGGGAAATGGATGATGGCACTGATGATGTTGGAGCTCAGAGGGCATGAGAGGAGTTCCTGAAGGAAGGAAGGCAACAAATCCCTCCCTGGCTTCAACAAGGACAAGAGAGAAGATGTGGGAAACAACCTATATTCCCAAATAGTGATTATTATTGAAAGCAAAAAGGAAAGAATGAGATCTTAATATGCATCAGTCATCTTGTCTTGGCAGTTATCAATTCTACAAGGCAAAGCTCTGGTGTACTGAACAGAATCCTGGCTTTCCCTGCTTCAGAAAGRTGGCATCAAAATGGAAAATATGTAAAGAAAATGTGTTAGGAGGATGAGCAGGGCAATCARAGATCTGCTAAAGGAGGAGAAACTGAGAGAAACAGACTATTTTAAGCATAGATGAGTAAAATCTGTGAAAAGATGTGATTCCTGCCACCAAATGTTGCAGTATTACAGCATTATTACAGTAAACAATAATCAGAATTATGGGATCAAGAAAAGCAAACATGTTTTGCTAAGAAAATCAGGATACTTACAAACAGAATTACATTGAAGCATTAGTTTGTAACAGAGMTCTGTACTCTATGACCTAGGTCACTCTTCTAGTCTTACATACCCAAAATAATGGTCAAAATCCTGTCATTACTAAGTCAAGGCAATAYTTCTCTTGAATCCCTCATTGTGTCCAGAATTCATGCCAGTATCTGAAAGCTAAATGCAATTTATAATGCTTCRGAGTAAATCAGTCTAGTAAAAACTATCTGCTTGAAATCCATGCATTTGTGTCTAAGCTCTTCTTTGGGAATAGGGACCCTGTCCAGGGCCCTCTGGCTGACAAACACCATAAGCATCAAATTTCATACAAAGGGTTACGAATAACCATATTYTCAGTGCTGCTGCCTGCAATCAATCCTAACTGTGTTGAAAAATGATACACATTTAACTGAASTGCAGAGCTGGCTGCAGGTTTCTGCAGGGCTTTGTACAAATGTGTCTTTAGCCAAATTCCTCCCCAGAAGGACAATCCCTGGCTCTGGACACCAGCTCTTCCCTCCAAGTCCTGGCAACACACCTCAACTCCAACCAAATAATTCAAGAATTCAAAGCAGGCCAAGTCTTAGGAGTCCAGACAAAGAAGGATCACGGATAGTTAAAGGAGAGYTGTGGTCCAGGCTCATTGTTTTGGTGACATCACAATTCCTATCCACCAAAGATCCTGCCAAAAACCTCCTGAGAATAGAGGGATGTGAAAAACAAGCAGTAAAAAAACCACTCCACCCTCAAGGCCATTCTTCTAAAACGTAGCAATTGAACAGTGAAAAACATTTTCTCTTTCCCTACTCTTTCAAAATCTCAGAAAGTGTGCATCTCACATATTGGGTGACAATTTCTGATTGCACTAGAAGTGATTTTATTTGGCCATTCAGATCTGATAATGAGTATTTACAAACAGGACAGGCTTATCRTGTCCCAGCTCTAATTTTGTTGTGGCTGTGGTGCATKTGTAGCTCCCAGYTGGAAAYCTTTGAGCAAGCAGCTCGTACTGAGGCCATTTGTGCCTCCTCCTTCTCTAATTTTACAAAATCTGTCCTGAAGAAAATCTATCAGCTAAAACATGATTAAAGTAAAAAATTATTCAAACATTTTGTGTGCATGATGCATTCATGTGCTAGTTCTGAGCTATGCTTCCACAAACGTGATATGTACAAGCATATGGTTGTTAAAAAAAATAGTTTGCTGATCTTAACAGGATTGTCGTAATGTGTGGGAGTTCAAAGCCAGGAATTAAGTTAATATCTGCATAACCTTTGACTTCTATGATGTAATAATTGCTTATTCAGCTGCTGCAGTGAATATTTTCTGCAAAAGACGAAAACATGACTCCTGGAATGAGAACCCCTGAATTATCTTTGGGAATCGTGCAAAATATAAGCAGGAGTAAAAAGAACAGGATAAATTYCACAGAAGTAGCATTCCAGCTAGATCAAAAAGGGAGATTTTCCAGGTAAAATCTGMAATAGCAGCTATTCTGCAGAGTTGCCTCTGATGGAAAGGCCTGTGCAGAGTCTGGGATTGGATAGCTGCTCACACCCAGWGCTGAYCCAGAGAACAGTCACCAGCCTGATGGTGACACCAAACCAAAGTGACACCTGAGCCTTGGTGGGCTCACCAACMCAGCACCAGGAAAGATTGTCCATTCTTCAAGCAGTGACCCTCAGACTCCTCCATTTCCCAGCCCACATAACCACCTGCAGATGGGCACGGATTCAGAAGGGAATCCAGGTCAAGGAGTAAAAATCACACATCCTTAGCAAGGTGTTTTTAATCCTTTAAGCACATTAATTGATTATGTTTGTAAAATGCAGTGCAGATCTTGCCCTTCACTTAACTTGCTCTGTAAGAGGCTCAGCAGTATGGAATGTGAGAAAACACAACGTGACCATCACTTCTCAGCATATGAGGATACAGGCACCAGATGGGCTCTGGGAGAGCACAGCACTAATCCAAMATGTTTCAGGAACAGCATCCCATGCAGAACTCCTGGAACTCATGATTACAACAGACACACATTGGTTTAGGTTTCCAGTAAAAAAACTCCTTTCAACATTCACTGGGTACCTTTCTGATAAACCATTCTTGTCCTGCCCAGAAAACTCCCTCACTAGTGAYTCTCGTCCATCTAACTCCCAAAACTGGAAAAAAAACTCCAAGACCACTTACAGAATTTGATCCTCAAAACGACAAACTGGCCAGCCACGATATTCAGAGTTACATCTTTGTCTTCCAAACTCCCTTTACATCTGTATTCTCACAAAACCACAGCAACAGCAATATTTTTCAGAAGATATTCACAGCATACAGCTTTGGCCAARGCTCAGGGCAGACAGAGTGTGCTTGGCCTGATCTGCTGCAGTGATGACAGAATTCTGAGGATTATTTATGGTATGTGAGACTAGAAGAGAGATCACATCAGCTCCTCCTGAGCAATGACACCTGGCTCTCATCAGGTGGACAATGTCAGCTGCTCTTGGAGCAGGGATGGCAGTTAAGTGCTGGCAGCTGGGGTTTGTAGTCTTGATTTTTTGGCTGTTCTTACAACAAACTGTGGAAATGCTGTCTCTGGCAATGCAAACACAACCTGGCTGGTCACTTAAGGCACTGAATAGACCTGGAGACGTGTTTAGACAAGAAGGAAGCCAGCTGACTTCAAAGGTCCAACTGGTAGTAGACTAACGTGACAAATACAGCTTTGCAGTATCTTGATCTTGTGTGTAAACCTGGGAATTAGGCACACAGAGTAGGGAAAAGGGTGAGGGAGACCTGAAACCATGAAAGGGAAAGATGTACAACAGAAAATMCGGCCTTGTGATTCCCTGAAACAGTTTGAACTGGAAGTAAAGGAGCAATGCAGGAGAGCATTACCATTCTTCCATTTTGTATGAAGAGAAAGAAGGTGAACAAAGTTTTGTCTTTCTGCAGAGAAGTGCTGGTTCACCTCAAGGCTGTTCATGAATGCACACTGAAGGGGTACAATGAGCAGACACAGCTGAGCTGGGGCACTAGTCCCCTTTGCACAGCAAGATATCCTTAGTCCTTCCACTCGCTGTTCTTAMAGGATCCCTCACAGACTGTGACAGCCTGAACTTGATAATAAAAGCATAAAACCAGTAGCTAGGACATGCTCTGTCCTAACAGTCCCAGCAGCACAACTGGGAGGAGTTYTGCAGTGCATGTGCTGTAGGATGCAAGGTTGTGTCCCTTTCCTGTCCTGCTCCAGTCCCTCAAACAGGATTTGTGACCATGGTTTTCCCTCCTCCAAGTGTGACRGATCATACCAGACCTTTATGGACTGACAGACACTCACAGTTCCTATGCAGCTAAAAAATACATCCTCTCTGAACAGGTTTAAAGGGGATGAACCTTTTCTTTCAGATGGATTCTCAGCTGAGGGTGATTATTTCAGGGCAGCTGAAATCACAGCAGAAACCCAGTYAGCACAGTAACTAAAGCAGCAGCACCCCAGAGGAAATGCCTGGTACGTTAGTGTGTTTTGTGG